AAAAAGTAAGTGGTGATGAGAAATTTTCAGCTGTTGATCTGAAAATTTGTTGATTGACATATAGCAAATAATTATATTCTTTGAAGCAATAAGTCTTCTCTTAAATATTTAACATATATGACAACCAATAAGTGGAAAGGTGCTATCTTCACATTCACTAAATTGGAAATTAAGTCTTCATGAATGTTTGTGAATTGTGGCAGCAGAGAAATTTATAATCTGATTTAATGCAATTGCTTTGGACACCAGTTTGCCATTGCCCAATAAAGTTGAAACCTTATCCAGGCGCTAGAGGCTACTTCTAGCTACTCTGGAGGCTGAGATCTGAGGATCACTCTTAGCTCCAATTAAACACCATAAAACCAAAAGTGGAGCTGTGAAAATAGTAGAGCACTCGCCTTAATCAAAAGAGGTCAGGGACAGTGCCCAGGCCCTGAGTTCAAGATCCATGACCAACAAAAAATTAATAAAGCTGAAGCTTGCGTATACTAAAAACAATTCTGCCTGCAGCTGTTTATGTACCTTAAAATACCTCTGCATGGATGCCAGGAAATACGATGCTTAGGCAGTCTCTAGAAGCCATTTATGAAAATTTTAGGAAAAAACAGTGCATAGTTATATATTCATTTCATGTAACTTCATAGCACAAGACTGATGACCATGTATTTGCATACCAACTTTTGTTTTTGGGTTTTTTTGTTGTTGGTGGTGGTGGTCGTGGGGCTTGAACTCTGAGCCTGGGCGCTGTCTTTAAGCTCTTCAGTTCAAGGCGAGCACTCTACCCCTTGAAACAGCACCACTTCCGGTTTTCTGGTAGTTAATTGGAGATGGAGATAGTCTCATGAACTTTCCTGCCTGGGCTGGCTTTGAACCTCGAACCTCAGATTTCAGCCTCTTGAGAAGCTAGGATTACAGTCGTGAGCCACTGGTGCCCGGCCTACCAACCCTTTTTAAAATAAAGTTTGATTTAAAAAAAAAAAAAAAAAAAACCCTTTGGGGTTGGAGGTATGGCTCAGGTCATAGAGCACCAGCCAATGAGTCAAAGCAAATTTCACATACTAGTTTCATGTCCCAGTCTCAGGCCAAAAAAAAAAAAAAAAGTTTGTCCCACCAGACACCAGTGGCTCATGCCTGTAATCCTAGCTACTCAGTAGGATGTCCATCTGATGATCAAAGTTCTAAGCCAGCCTGAGCAGGAAAGTCCATGAGACTCATCTCCAGTTAACCACCAGAAAACTGGAAATGATGCTGTGGCTCAAAGTGGTAGAGCAAGAAAAAAAAAGTTTGTCCTGCATAATAAAACTAGGTCTGAAAAGGAAAAACAATTTAACCTGTATATGATGAGTTAAGGCTACTCAGTCTTGGAATACTGGAAATACTTGAAAATAGGAAAGAGCATAAGGTTTTTTTTACTAAAATCAGGTTATCTATATACAAAGCCAATAAGTTCTTCTGTATTCACCTTTATATCTTTATTGAAAAATCTTCCTCAGGCATTTTTACTTTTTCACGTGGAAGGTACATTCTCCCAAGTAGAAAAAAATATACCTAATTTTCTGTCTTCTCAAACTTTTTTTTTTTTGTTGGTTGTGGGGCCTGAACTCTGGGCCTGGGCACTGACCCTCAGCTCTTCAGCTCAAGGCTAGCGCTCTACCACTTGAGCCACAGAGTCACTTCCAGCTTTTTCTGCTTATGTGGTGCTGAGGAATCAAACCCAGGGCCTCATACATTCAAGGTAAGCACTCTACCACTGAACCACCTTCCCAGCCCCTATTTTCTCAAACTTAAGACTAAACAGTTAAGCACTTGCATAAAAGCTCTCTCTGCAAGAAAGGATTGAGAGTTACTAAGCCTTTTGTTCCAGTAGTTGCTAGGATTTTACAAGTATCAACATGTCAGTTTATGAGTATAATGCATCTTAACAGAAGCCAGCCTTTCTTCATACCTATTATTTTTCTATTGTAAGTAAGTGGTTTGTCTTTAGATGAGCTTAATTTTCTTAGGACTTCTAGCTTGAGCTGTGTAACAAATGGTATTTAAGTCAAAATGTTTCCACTAGAGGGTGCCATCCACCAAGATTAACCGTAGGATGTTGTTAATTTTGTAGGAAGATAAGCAATATACCTATAAATGAGCAGCTTTCCAGCCCTTCAGGTCAATGTGGCATTATTCAATTCTGTTAAAAATGAAACTTGTTTCCTTAGAGCAGTTTTTAAAGCCATTCTCTTGATATGCAGAGAGCTTTCAAGATGTTTTGTTAATCCAAATATAGGGTTTATCATGTAGGCAAGACAGTGCAAACTGTAATGCCTGTAGATGTCATTTAAGATCTTAATAAAATTGATTTCTTGGCTCATTAGAAAGACCTGAGATGTGCATTCCTAATAAGCTCCCAAGTGATTCAGGTGCTTGTTCTGGCACTCGACTTTGAATTATCAAGGACCTAAGAGTTCTAGGGAACCTAAAATTCCCTATGACAACAGTGACTCTAAATAGCTAATACATAAATGCCAAGAGAGAGTAGAGGCTTTGTTCATGTATTTGCAATGCCCTGAAAAATTCCTGGGAGATAATAGGTGCTCAATAAATATTTGTTGAATGAATGAAAGAGAGCAGTTTCAGAGTGCCAGTGTGCACTAGCTCATTTAATCTTGACAGCCCCTGAGCTCAGCTCTATTGTTCCTTTTTCAGAGAAAGCACATAAGTCATGAGTTGTGGGACCATGATTTGAATCAGAATGGCTGAATTCCTCCTACAAAAGTTAGGAGCCCATGCTTTAGGGAAAACACTATCGACAGGTGAAGACTCAGATATAGACAATTATTGTACAAAGTCCCTGGGTTTCTGATAACTTGTACCTGTCAGACTTGGGTTGGGGGGGGAGGGCGCCTTGGTGTGTCCCATTGTCCCCTGGGATTTGACACTGGCCTTGGAGAGCATTCACTTCCCCTCTGTCAGATGTGCCTCACAGATTGGAGAGAGGAAGGAACACATTTAAGATCCACCCAGTGTTTATGAAAGGTACCCCAGCCGGGCGCTGGTGGCTCACGCCTGTAATCCTAGCTACTCAGGAGGCTGGGACCTGAGCATCGAGGTTCAAAGCCAGCCCGAGCAGGAGAGACCGTGAGACTCCTATCTCCAATAAACCACCAGAAAACCGGAAGTGGCGCTGTAGCTCAAGTAGTAGAGCGCTCGCCTTGAGCTGAAGAGCTGAGGGACAGCACCCAGGCCCAGAGTTCAAGCCCCACGACCGACAAAAAAAAAGAAAGGTACCCCATTATCTACTTTAGTCCTTATAATCTACCAAAAGAATGAAAGGTCACGATCCCAAATTAGAGAATGATGGATAAAGACGATCATCTCAATCCTTGGCCACTGCCCATAGATGGAGCTATTTATCTTCCAACAGGTCTTTTGCTGGGTCAGCATAAATTCTCTGGCTTCCTATTGGGAATTGCCATCATTTTGAAATTTTATTTTACTTTGTTACTTTTTCTGTTCAAGCTACCATTTGGTTGCATTTGCAAATCTAGCAAAAAGAAGGTAGTTATTTGAATTTTTTTTCTTTTTTTTTGTATTTTTATTTATTTTTTATTTTTTGTCAGTCATAGGCCTGAACTCTGGGCCTGGGCACTGTCCCTCAGATCTTCAGCTCAAGGCTAGCGCTCTACCACTTGAGCCACAGGGCCACTTCTGGCTTTTTCTGCTTATGTGGTGCTGAGGAATTGAACCCAGAGCCTCATGCATGCAAGGCAAGCACTCTACCACTGAACCACTTTCCCAGCCCTATTTGAATTTTTTTCTTCCTACCAGAAGTTACATGATTAATTAGTGGTAAGGTGAGCTATAATTCAAAAGTTACTTTCTGTCTGACTAATTCATTTCGTAGCTACAACAAATTACATACTCTGTGTGTGTGTGTGCAAGCATGTGCATCTATGTGTGTGCACACACCTATGTCAGTGTATGGCTTGAACTTAGTGCTTCAAACTCTCATTTAGCTTTTTCTGCTCAAGGCTGACATTCTACCACTTGAGCCACATGTCTACTTCCAGTATTTTGCTGATTAATTGGGAGATGAGTCTCATGGACTTTCCTGCCTGGACTGGCTCTGAACTTGTGATCCTCAGTAAGTAGCTAGGATTTTAGGTGTGATCCACTAGCACCTGGCTACTGTCAGTCTTTTGCATGTCTCTAAGGCTGATGCTTCTTTTTATTCATGGTCCTTGATTTCCTTCTTTGAGATTTTTAACATTCCTATGACTTAGTGTAATTTCTTGAAGTAATAGGTTCAATGTATTGCTCATTACAGGGGCCTTGTGTTCATTTCTGCTATTTATTTGATGTACATACAAGTAACTTAGGCCACTTCAAAACAGTCCTCACTTAAAGTTTTTGGATTGTTTATTATTGGTTTTGGTTGTGGTTTTTTTTTTTTTTTTTGGTCCAGTCATGGGGCCTGAACTCTGGGCCTGGGCGCTGTCCCTCAACTCTTCAGCTCAAGGCTAGCGCTCTACCACTTGAGCCACAGCGCCACTTCTGGCTTTTTTCTTTTTTGCTTATGTGGTGCTGAGGAATCGAACCCAGGGCCTCAGGCATGCAAGGCAAGCGCTCTACCACTGAGCCACCTTCCCAGCCCATGGTTTTGGGGTTTTTAAAGCTTGAATTAGCCTACAAATTCATGTGAACACAGTTATGAGTTTTTAGCAGAGACCCTACCACCTCCCATCTATTGAGAAAATCAAAATTACCTACTTTCCTTACTGTTCCCCCTCTGAGCAGATTACACAGTTTCTGCCTTTGCCTGCATAATGCTGTCTTAGGCACCTAATATTTAATAAAGATTTTTTTTTCAGTTGTGGGTCTTGAACTCTGGGCCTGGATGCTGTCACTGAGCTCTTTAGCTCAAGGCAACAGCTCTACCTCTTGAGCCACAGCACCACTTCCGGTTTTCTGGTGGTTAATTGGAGATAAGAGTCTCATGGACGTTTCTGCTTGGGCTGGCTTTGAACTGTGATCTTCAGATCTCAGCCTCTTGAATAGTTAGGATTACAGGCATGAGCCACCGACACCCAGCTAAAGATGATGTTTTATATAAATAAAAGGATGAAATATTTTAAAACAGTTGAGTAATAAAGCCAGGGGAAAACGATCAGATCCACATATTAATACCTGATTCTATAAAATATTACAAATAGAGAAACATTTCAAGATTTAAAAAATGAAATCATGGAAAACTGTAATTTTTTTTTTTTTTGGTTGGTCATGGGGCTTGAACTTTGGGCCTGGGCACTGTCCCTTAGCTCTTCAGCTCAAGATTAGCCCTCTACCACTTGAGCCACAGTACCACTTCTGGTTTTCTTGTGGTTAATTGGAGATAAGAGTCTCACAGACTTTCCTGCCCAGGCTGGCTTTGAACCACAATCCTCAGATCTCAGCCTCCTAAGTAGCTAGGATTAAGATGTGAGCCACCAGCATGCCTGGCTTATAATATATATTCTTCACCTGAAGAAGTTCAATAGTTTGATGAGACTTTGATGACATCTGAGCCCTCAGGAAAAGGCCCCTATGATATTGTGTGTTGAGTGTTACTGAGACAAGCAAATAGTATTTAGTAACATCTTGTCATTTTGCTGATGAAGCTGCTGTTTGGGTAAGGCTTTTAAAAATGAAGCTAGGCACAGGTAACACGTGTAATCCTAGCTACTCAGGAGGCTGACATCTGAGAATTCAGGTTTGAAGCCAGCCAGGACAGGAAAGTCCATGGGACTCCAATTAACCAGCAAGAAGCTGGAAGTGGAGCTGTGGCTCAAGTGGTAGAGCACCAGTCTTGAGCAAAAAAGCTCAAAGACAATGCCCAGGCCCTGAGTTCAAACCCCAACACCCACACAAACAAGCAAAAAAATAAAAATAAAAAGGTCACAGGAAAACCACTGGTCATGAGAGGGAAGTTGAAACCTAAGAGGAAGTAACATCTGATGAAAACAAGTTAAGGCATGAAATAGGACTTCCTCTTTCCCTGCCTTTCTCCAAATTCCATGGAAATCACAAAGAATAAAAAGTGGATTCAAAACAGGAGAATCACTTGACAGAAAAATTTAGCAGAACAAAAGAAACTAAAAACACTATGGGTATTGAGCACTCAGCTAACTAAAGCAAATAACAGAGCTACCCACTTGAGAACCTATAGCTCTTAGAGTTGCTTCTGGAAGAACTCACTGCATTATATATATAGCTGAAGATGAAGGTCAAGGAGAGATTGCCAAAGTGCTCAACACCACCGCACCAGAGGATGCAGTGCTTCTAGGAAGGAAGCCAGGCTCCTGGGAGCCTACTGAGTCCCTCTCTTCCCATCACATCCCACTCAGTTCTGTCACTTTGCCAGCTTGACAGTGGCCAGAGCAGAATTTACATGGCATGGAAATTAGGAAATGCTACAAATTAGGACTTGCTGCCTCCCCAGCGCCCCCCACTCAAGCTGGTTGTTAAACACTTAACAGCGTATCACAGCTCCTGAGTAAGCTAAGGTTAGAGAAAAAAGATGAATGTCCTGGAGGACAAAGAAAACTGTGCCACCAAAAGAAGTTATTCCTATTCCTACCTAAGCACAGGAGAAAACCTCAGGAATCTGAGTCCTAACTCCTGCACTGCCAGGTATCCAGCTCTCTTCTGGAGCAAGAAAAGGAATATACCTACAAATAGGGACAGAAATCCATGGCAACATTTCGGGGTAACAGAGTTTGAAGAATTCAAAGAACAGGCTGGGAAGGTGGCTCATTGGTAAAGTGTTTGCCTTGCATGCCTGAGGCCCTGGGTTCGATTCCTCAGCACCACATAAGCAGAAAAAAATAAGCCGGAAGTGGTGCTGTGACTCAAGTGGTAGAGCGCTAGCCTTGAGCTGAAGAGCTGAGGGACAGTGCTCAGGCCCAGAGTTCAGGCCCCACAACTGGACCCAAAAAAAAAAAAAAAAAAAAAAGAACATACCCAGCCTACTCTACAAAAAGTCAGTGTACAGATAATTTTTTTTTTTTCTGTCAGTCATGAGGCTTGAACTCAGGTCCTTGAGTGCTGTCCCTGAGTTTTTTTCTAGTGTTCTACCTCTTGCACCACAGTGCCACATCCTGTTTTCTGGTGGTTTATTGGAGATGAGTCTCACAGACTTTCCTTCCCAGGCTGGCTTTGAACCTCAATCCTCAGATCTCAGCCTCCTGAGTAGCTAGGATTACAGACGTGAGCCACCAGCACCCAGCCAGATGAAATCTTTTAGTATGGTATCTCCCCATCCTGTAAAACATCTTCAGATTTCATGGAATTGCAAAGTATAATTGCTGGGATAACTATGAAGCAATGAATTGGGAAGTTGAGGTGATACATTCTTCCAAAATGGTATTGAAAGGAAGAGGAGAAATAGAGGGGAGGGCGGGAAAGGGGAGGAGACAAGAAAACAAACGAAAGAAAAACAGTAATGTTAGAAAGGCTGAGGATATAGATCAATGGTAAATTGTTTGCCTGGTATGCACAAGGTCCTTTCTCTGTATGTGTGGAGGGTGGGGAGAGGAAGAGGGAGAGAGAGGAATAATGTGAAAAGGATGAAATTATTGAAGAAACAAAAATTCCTAGAACTAACGAGGGACTTAGATGAAAAGAGCCTATTAAATGCCAGGCAAAGCCAGGTGCTGGTGGCCCACACCTGTAATCCTAGCTACTCAAGAGGGTGAGATCTGAGGATCATGGTTCCAAGCCAGCCCGGGCTAGAAAGTTGGTGAGGCTCTTATCTCCAACAATCTACCAGAAAACCACTGTGGCTTAAGTGGTAGAGCACAGCACCCAGGCCCAGAGTTCAAGCCCCATGACAACAAAAAATTTTAAAAAAAGAATGCCAGGCAAAATTAATGAAATTATCTTCTAAAAAGGTATTGAGGTATTGCATGACTAAACATAGCATCCAAATAAGAGGTCTTGTTTTGTCTCTCCTTTTAGAAACTACCTAAAATTAAGAATGAACTGGGGGCTGGGAAGGTGGCTCAGTGGTAGAGCACTTGCCTTGCATGCCTGAGGCCCTGGGTTCGATTCCTCAGCACCACATAAGCAAAAAGAAAAAAAGCCGGAAGTGGCGCTGTGGTTCAAGTGGTAGAGCGCTAGCCTTGAGCTGAAGAGCTGAAGGATAGTGCCCAGGCCCAGAGTTCAGGCCCCATGACCGGACCTCCCCCCCCCAAAAAAAAAAAAAGAGTTTCACCGCTTTTCTGGGCTGGGAAGGTGGCTCAGTGGTAGAGTGCTTGCCTTGCATACATGAGGCCCTGGGTTCGATTCCTCAACACCACATAAGCAAAAAGAAAAAAAGCCGGAAGTGGCGCTGTGGCTCAAGTGGTAGAGCGCTAGCCTTGAGCTGAAGAGCTGAGGGACAGCGCCCAGGCCCAGAGTTCAGGCCCCACGACCGGACCCAAAAAAAAAAAAAGAAAAAAAAGAATGAACTGGGGCTGGAAATGTGGCTTAATGATAGAGTGCTTGCCTAGTATGCATAAAGCCCTGAGTTTGATTCCTCAGTACCACATAATCAGATAAAAGCCGCAAATGTGCTGCAGCTCAAGTGATAGAGGGATAGCCTTGAGTAAAAGAAACTCAGGGACAGTGCCTAGGCTCTGAGTTCAAGCCCCAGGACTGGCAAATTATACACACACACACACACACACACACACATATCAAAAAACAAAGAAAAAAAAATGAACTGAGTGTTAGTTCAACCCCTAATGTGGACAGAGAGAAAGAGAGAGGGGGGGAGATTAAAAGAAAGGGAGAAGAAGCAGTTATAGCAGCTCTGTATTGGATGAACCTGAATAGAAAGAAGGACTGTGAGGGGAAGTGAAGGTCAAATAGGGAGGCTTAGAGTCCAGGGCTATAGGCTGCTAAAAGACAGCTGAAACCGTGCATAGTAGATCACACCTGTAATCCTAGCTGCTCAGGAGGCTGAAATCTAAAGATCATGGTTGAAAGCCAGCCCAGGCTTGAAAATCCATGAGACTTATCTCTAATTAACCAGGGGGAAAAAAGCCAGAAATGGAGCTGGCTCAAGTGGAAGAGTGCTAGCCTTGAGCAAAAATCTCAGGGACAGTACCCAGGCTCTGAGTTCAATCCTCAGGACTGGCACGCATGCACACACACACATCCCCCCGCCCCCCTCCCCCGTCCCCCCACAAAAGCCAGTTGAGTGACTGCAAAGTACAGCACAGAGGTGAAAACCCAGTAAGTCTTTTTTTTTTTTTGTAAAAACGGAATGAAGTTCTATTAGTAAAAACCTTTCTGGCCACAATTTGGTACTGACAAAAAGCTGAGAAAGTAGATTTGAGCAAGAAATATCACAGATTAATCATATTTTTCAGGAAGTAGTCTGCAGTAGAGGAAAGAGAGGAGGAAGACTGGGTTGTGACATCCCTTTGGTGCTGATCTCAAGTAGTTTGCAGAGATGCAAAATCTAAAGGAAATGATCGCGCACACAACACATTATTTTGTGAGGAGGGTCTCTGATGCCTGGGAGTACAGCCTGGCTTCTCTCAGCAACCAGATATGAATGCACTTTATTTCAGGTTAACCTTAAAAATAAAAGCTTAGGAAGGGGCTGGGAAGGTGGCTCAGTGGTAGAGCGCTTGCCTTGCATGCATGAGGCTCTGGGTTCAATTCCTCAGCACCACATAAGCAAAAAAGAAAAAAGCCAGAAGTGGCGCTGTGGCTCAAGTGGTAGAGCACTAGCCTTGAGCTGAAGAGCTGAGGGTCAGCACCCAGGCCCAGAGTTCAGGCCCCACAACTGGACCACCCCCCCCCAAAAAAAAAGCTTAAGAAACAAAGGAAACTGTATCTTGGTGGGGAGAAGTGGGGAGGACCAAAATTCTTCACAGCAAATGTCAGATGAAGCATTGTCACTATGCCACATACAAAAATAGAACCCAAACAAATTATCATGAATTAATTTTGTCATTAGCAGTAATTGCACCTTGGATAAACTTCATTGAATATAATATGATGTTACCAATGCACAAAGCTTTTAAAATTGATGTCCATAAAACTCAACCTTTCTACAAAACAAGAACCCAAAGCAGAAATAGAAGAGTTCAGGAAAGATTAGAAACACAAACTGAGTGTGTTCAAGGCTGAAGCAGAAGAATTTTGAGTCTGAGGTTAGCCTGGCTACGTGATGAGACCTTGTTTCAATTTTTTAAAGTAAAACATGAAGATGGATTCTCTCTCTATCCCCTCTTCGCCCTCTCCCTCTCCCTCTCCCTCTCTGTCTCGCTTAGCCCTAAGGCTTGAAATAAGGGTCTGGGCACTGTCCCTGAGCTTCTTTTTTCAAGGCTAGCACTCTACAACTTGAGCCACAACACCACTTCCAGCTTTATCTGTTGATGTGGTACTGAGGAATTGAACCCAGGGCTTCATGCATGCTATGCAAGCACTCTACCACTAAGCCACATTGCCAGCCTCCATCCTTCTCTCTCTCTCCTCTCTGTACTAAGGATTGAAATCAGGGCCTTGGACTTGCAAGGCAGACATTCTAACACTTGAGCCATACTTCCAGCTTCAAGGTAGATTTTTTTTTTTCCCATGTGAATGAAACATGACATATCAGGTCCTGGAGGCGGGGAGGGGAATGATAACTTGATACTGCAGATGTGAAGAGGTTGTGGGAAGTAGCACAGAGGGAAATACATATTGCTGAAAAAACAGTGAAATACACTAAAAAAAAAAGGAAAATATACGGTTGGGTGATGGCAGCTCAGGCCTCTAATCCTAGCTATTCAGGAGGCTGAGATCCGAAGGTCATGGTTCAAAGCTAAACTGGGTAGAAAAGTACCTAAAAAAAAATCTATCTTCAATTAACTAACAAAATGCTGGGTTGAAGAAAGGGCTCAAGTGGTAGAGTACTAGCTGTGAGTGAAAAAGCAGAACAAGAACATAAGGCCCTGAGTTCAAGTCCTGGTATTGGCACGTGTGCACACACTCATATACATAAACAAAATAAACTGGAAAAAGTAATTATGAAAGGTCAGAAATGGAAAATCTGTATATACATGATTGGTGGCCTTCAGTATAAATACAGGACACATGATTCTTAAAGATATTTAAGCAAGCATTAAGATAATATTTAAGAAGAATATTCTAGAAATAAGGAACATTACAACCAATTGAAGAGACACAACCTATCATTGGCAAAAATCTTCCTGATACCAAAATCCCTTCCCTCCTCTGCTAAAGAACTGAACCAATGACTAGAGTCCTAGAATTGTATTAAGAACTGTTGTCTTACTGCCTCAAATACCTGTTATAGACTGTTAACTTAAGAAATAAGTTGGGGCTGGGAAGGTGGCTCAGTGGTAGAGTACTTGCATGAGGCCCTGGGTTCGATTCCTCAGCACCACATAAGCAAAAAGAAAAAAGCCGGAAGTGGTGGTGTGGCTCAAGTGGTAGAGTGCTAGCCTTGAGCTGAAGAGCTGAGGGACAGCGCCAAGGCCCAGAGTTCAGGCCCCACGACTGGACCCTCCCCCACCCCAAAAAAAGAAATAAGTTTCCCCTCTGTTTTCTCAAAACCATTTTTTTTGGGGGGGGGATATCTATGACTATAATTTATTCAACCTTATTCAGGATCACAGAAAAAAGTACATTGAAATATCTATATGTGTATTTATTTATTTTATATTTATTTATTTATTTATGTGTGTGTATATATACATGGGGTTTGAACTCAGGACCTTGAGTTTGCTTGGTTTGCTTGATTAGTGGTGCTTTACCACTTGAATCATGCCTGCAGCCATGATTTTTATGGTTATTTTGGAGATGGAGCCTTGAGACTTTCTGGACAGTTTGGCTTGAGATCTCAGTCTTCTGCATTTCAGTCTCCTGAGCAGCTAGGTTTACCAATGAGTCACTAGCACTCAGCTACATTTGCTTTAAAAAACAACAACAAAAACACAAGGATTTATTTTAGTATTATAGAGTTACAGTAGAGAGAAATAGAAAAGAGGGTGAATATTTTCCTGCTCCCTATTGCAGAAAATGGGCGTAAAAGACTTACCATGTGCCTTTTTTTTTCTTTTTTGGGGGGGGAGGGGTGTCTGTTGTGGGGCCTGAACTCTGGGCCTGGGCGCTGTCCCTCAGCTCTTCAGCTCAAGGCTAGCACTCTACCACTTGAGCCACAGCGCCACTTCCGGCTTTTTTTCTTTTTGCTTATGTGGTACTGAGGAATCGAACCCAGGGCCTCATGCATGCAAGGCAAGCACTCTACCACTGAGCCACCTTCCCAGCCCCTTTATTTATTTTTTAATAAAAAAAATTTTAATCAGTTATGGGGCTTGAACTCAGGGCCTTGGCACTGTCCCTGAGCTTTACTGCTCAAGGCTAAACTTTGAGCCACAGCGCCACTTCCAGTTTTCTGGTGGTTAATTGGAGATAAGAGTCTCACAGGCTTTCCTGGGGGAGCTGGCTTCAAACTGTGATCCTCAGATCTCAGCCTCCTATGTAGCTAGGATTACAGGTGTGAACCACTGGCACACATCTCCAGTATTTTGCTATTTTTAAACAAAACATTATGTTCTCCTTGCACTGCTTTATGTTTTGAATATAGAACTTATTACTTTCCTATGTATCTATTCACTTACCAGACACTACACCATGTATGTAATTGTTTATTTTTGCCTCTCATCCCTCCTAGCTGTAAGATTCCAGAGAGCAGGGTTCACTAATTTTTGTTATACAATCCACATCTAAAACTGCCAGTACACATGCATATCTGTGGGAGGGTGAGGGGAGGGCACAGAATCCGGGGAAAAAGCGTGAAAAGGTGCAGCAGTGGAGTGCGCTGGACATGGATGAAAGTGAACTATGTAACTTGTGGGTGGAGATGGGAGAGAGGGAATGGAAGAGAACGAGGGAACACCGCCACTATGCGAAAGGAAATATACTTAATACCTGACATATGTAAAGGTCACCCTGCTGTACATCACCTCTAAAACAACAATAAAGTAAATTAGAAAAAAAGAACAAGACAAAAGAAATGTTTAGTGATGAACTCATCCAGTGCATACAAGAAACAAGCATGTGGGTACTAATAGCTCCAAGGGACAGAAGAGGAACTTGAGGCATGAAGAGATGAGAATGAAAATTTAAGGAAATTTGCAGAGAATGAAGTATCTCTGTGTCAAAAATAAGTCAGTTGAAACATCAGCTTATTTTACTTTTCCTTCCCTCAGAAGAAACAGATGAAAATGATTTCATCCTAGAGGTAACTGCAGGAGGTGGAGGGCAGGAGGCATTATTTATTTTTTATTTTATTTTATTTTTTACTTTAGAGACGTTTGCTATTATCAGCAACATGCTACATTTTTTAAAAATGGCATTTTGAAATCCTAGAATATTTTCCAAATGAAAAAGGTGGGCTTAGATGTGTATCTGCCAGCACTGGGTGTTCAGATGCCTGTAAACACATACTTGAAGGAGAAGTACAAAGACTGAGAGTGAGCACACATCCTTTCTAACACCATGACTGTGGCACTATTACACTACCCTGTGGAGATTAATTTGGTGATTGATCCTAAAGATCGGAGAATTAATACTAAATGAGGCAGTAGCACTGGGAGTCAGCACATAAATACCACAGACAGTGCTGTCCTGATAGTTTATTAGATTTCTGAGTGTCAAGAAGAAGATCTCAACTGAAAAATAGATGGCTTTGAGCTGGGAGCTGGTGGCTCACATCTGTAATCCTGCCTATTATGGAGGCTGAGATCTGAGGATCACAGTTCAAAGCAAGTCCAGGCAGGAAAGTCTGTAAAACTCTTATCTCTGATAAACCACCAGAAAACTGGAATTGGTGCTGTGGCTCAAGTGGTAGAGTACTAGCCTTGAACTGAAGAGCTGAATGACAGTGCCCAGACCAGAGTTCAAGCCCCACAACTGACAAAGGAAAAAAAATAGATGGCTTTAAAACATAGTGTGCAAAGCTGTACATCATTGTATCTAGAAGAAACAAAAGACAATGCTAGAAAATCTAGATTGGAACACAAGAACATATAAGAAAATAACATACAATTTTCCACAGAACTGGGTCACAGATCACCAAATAAACAAATCATTGCATGATCTGGAAGCTACGCCAGAGACTGTCTACTGGGTGAATTTACGTTATCATTGAAGGACTATGCTGATTTCGAATCTTTAGTAGAAGTTATTTTCATGCATGCCTAGCATGCATGAAACCCTGGGTTCAATTCCTCAGTACCACATACACAGAAAAAAACAGAAGTGGTGCTGTGGCTCAGGTGGTAGCCTTGAGACAAAGAAGCTCAGGGCCAGTGCCCAGGCCCTAAGTTCAAACCCTAGGACTGGCAAAAAAAAAATTTTTTAATTTAAAAAAGACATAGTCAATTTGTTATTCAAATCTTATTTAATATAGGTTAAGAAAATTTTCAACAGCAAGTTACATTATATGTAAATACTTGCCAGAACAGTATTCTATTGAAAATTATGAGCAGGTAAATAATTAAAACAGACTGCAAAAGAAAATACTAAGGGAATGTGGCTTAGTGGTGGAGTGCTTCCCTACATGCATGAAGCCCTTGGTTCAATTCCTCAGTACCACATACACAGAAATGGCCAGAAGTGGCGCTGTAGCTCAAGTGGTAGAGTGTTAGCCTTGGGCAAAAGAAGCTCAGGGACGGTGTGTAGGCCCTGAGTTCAAGCCCCAGGACTGGTAAAACACACACACACACACACACACGAAAAATACTAAGTAACATAGCTGGAAGTTGTACAGATATTCATAGATATTCTTTCGAAAAATACTAAGTAACATAGTTGGAAGTCGTACGGATATTCATAGATATTCTTATTTAGTTTTAGTGGCAGTACAGTGATTTGAACTCAGGCCCTTAAACTTTCTAGGCAACCACTTTTCTACTTTAGGTACACTACAGCCCTTTTTATACTTTTGTCCAGGCTGTCCTATCTATAACTCCCACATAGCTGGAATTATAGAAATGAACCACCACTTCTGGCTTGTTTGTCGAGATAGGATTCTCTAACTTTTTGCCTTGTCCGGCTTAGAACTGCGGTCCTCCTGATCTCCACCTTCCAAGTAGTTGAGATTATGGTATGAAACAGCAATTTTATTTTTGTAGGCTATAGTGCTTGAACTTTGTGTTTGGGTGCTATCCCTCAGCTCTTCAGCTCAAGGCTGCTCTACCACTTGAGCCCTTGGTTTTCTGGTGGTTTATTGGAGATAAGAGTTTCACAGCCATGGGGCTGGGAAGGTGGCTCAGTGGTAGAGCGCTTGCCTTGCATGCCTGAGGCCCTGGGTTCGATTCCTCAGCACCACATAAGCGGCGCTGTGGCTCAAGTGGTAGAACACTAGCCTTGAGCTGAAGAGCTGAGAGACAGTGCCCAGGCCCAGAGTTCAGGCCCCACAACCGGACCCAAAAAAAAAAAAAGTTTCACAGTCTTTCCTGCCTGGGCTGGCTTTGAACCATGATCCTCAGATCTCAGCCTCCTGAGTAGCTAGGATTACATGCGTTAGCCACTGGAGGCCGAAGAGCCAGTATGTTTTTAAGAGCAAAGAAAAAAGGATAAATCGGGGCTGGGAAGGTGGCTCAGTGGTAGAGTGCTTGCCTTGCATGCATGAGGCCCTGCGTTCGATTCCTCAGTACCACATAAGCAGAAAAAGTGGCACTGTGGCTCAAGTGGTAGACCACTAGCCTTGAGCTGAAATCCTGAGGGACAGTGCCCAGGCCCAGAGTTCAGGCCCCATGACAGGAAAAAAAAAAGAAAGAAAGAAAAGAAAACTGTATTTTCCTATTTTTTCCAGTGCTACGAATGGAGCCTAGACTTCTTTTTTTTCAGGCAGAAAAAGAATTTACTGTGGGGAGATCCAACTGTGGACCCTGCAAGAGATAAGAGGCATGTGGAGACAGAAGGAAGAAGAGAAAAAGGGAGGGACTGGTGTTGAGCTGGATGTGGAAATGATGCCTGGGGAACCCCTCACAGTTTGAGGGAGGTACGACTAGGGTGGCTCAGGAAATGACCTCAATGGATGAGGAAGTGACCTCAGAGCCCGTGATTCTTTGCTGACTCACAGTCAGATGATTGACAGTCAGGTGATTACTGGTTTCAGGTAGATGAAGAGGGGAGGGGCTTTTCTCTGGGCTGACTTAACATTCCAGGCTTTTGATTGTTATAAATGGGTGATGATTCTCTTTGGCTACTTCCTGCTAGCAAGGAGTGTCAATATTAGGTGTAAAAGGTGGAGTTGTTGTCCAATATGGGAGAAGGCAGCAAGGAGCAACTGTTCCTTGGTAGTGAACACTTGTATGCGTTCTTAGATTCCATCTGAAAGAAATCTTACAAGGTAGGGGCTCAGCAATTAAAAAAAAAAAAAAAAGGACATACAAATAGCAGAAGGAAAGGTTCAGGGCAGAAAATTCAGAATTGGAGGACTTGGCTAGTTCCTATCTCTGTTCTAGGCAGTCCTGGAGTTAACTGAAAATATCCCTAGCTCATTCTGACATCTGGTGACCAGGTAGGGAAAGCATGGTAGACTGCCATGAAGCTGGGGCTGGATTGGAGTGGTTAGAGGCTTGGTAGAATTCTGGATAGCTTATATATTAATGTTAATCTCCTGATCTGATTAATTTTGCAAGGGTAAATGTAGAGTGGCCACATTTAGGATGTGACACCATCTCCTCTAACTCCTCTCCATGGTTCCTTGTATTTTGGACTGGCTGGGTCCCAGGGGTCTAGGTGCTCATTGCTGGGATAGCTCCTTCCAGTTGGCATTCACAGGGTTTGAATTTAAGGCCTGGGTACTGTTCCTGAGCACTTCTGCTTGAGTTCAGTGCTCTACACTTTGAGTCACAGTGCCATTTCCAGCGTTTGACTGGTTAATTAGAAGTAAGAGTCTCTTGAGCCATGCTTCCAGCCTGGCTCTTTTTGCTGGTTATTTGGGAGATGGAGTCTTGAACTGCAGTTGTTAGTATTATCCCCACCTTTGGTCCCTAGCTCCACCCATACCTTAGCTCCTCCCTTCCTTGGAGTTCCAGCCATACAGCTGGCCACTCCACCTCTCTGCCTAGACTCACCAGAGCACTTCCTGCCCCCAGACCCTCTCCGGATGGATAGAGATGGATGCCATGTGCTCTCTGTAAGGTCCGCTCCTGGATGGCTAGCAGACTCCACCCTCCTCCCAGCAAAGTTCCACCCAGTACCTGCGTTACCTAGGCAACTAGGACACCTGGAAGAGGTCACATCTGCATCCGCTGAGGTCACATCTGAATTTGATGTGGCCACACCTTTCTCTGCCCATACCCTACATAAGGCCTAGCCAAGGCCTAGACGCCCTCTCTCTGCTCTTTTCTAGCTCTTTCTCAGCTCTTTCCTTCTCTTCTCTTTCCTAGCTCTCTTTTTCCCACCTTTCCCAGACACTCTTTTCTAGCTTTTCTCTCTCTTTCCCAGCTCTCTCTCTTTCCCAGCTCTCCCAGCTCTTTCCCAGGCCTTTTCCACCACATGGAGGACCAAGATGGCCTGGTGCCAGCCAGAACAATGAATAAACCTTACCTGAATACCACGTGCGTGCTGCTGTTCTTACTCTGCAACCTCTTTTTAAAAACCTAACACTCCCTTGCCTGGGAAGTATGGCCCTTCTAATAAACCTTATAATAATCTTTCCTCCTGTGCTTGCCTGCCTCTGAGTGGTCCCCTGGGATGGATGTGAAGGATTCCTTTCAGCAATCCTCGGATTAAACAAGTCTTTGCCACAAAAACCCTTTTTATTTCCAATTAAAGCAACAAGGAGACCAACAGAAATGAGCAGAGCTTACCTGTAACTTGTTAAGAATTGACCAACAAATACTTGCCAGACTTATTTCTCTGTGGGTCTGGCTAGACACTGCAAGGGGGAAAATCTGTAACAATACTCAATGGATATGAGAGTTTTAAAACTGCTTAATTGAACTTAGCACTTGACTATTGAAGATTGAAATAAACCATTGTCAGATCTGAATCCAACGTGGCGTACATACTTGGAAAACAAATATTGAAAACTTGATGAACTTAAAACTGCACAAACAATTATTTTCATTACTTTCAAAGAATGACATGCTGATTTTTACATCAATGTGTTCTTTATTGGATTAACTCTTTTTTTGAGGGGAGGGGGGTCCGGTCGTGGGGCCTGAACTCTGGGCCTGGGCACTGTCCCTCAGCTCTTCAGCTCAAGGCTAGCACTCTACCACTTGAGCCACAGCGCCACTTCCAGCTTTTTTCTTTTTGCTTATGTGGTGCTGAGGAATTGAACCCAGGGCCTCATGCATGCAAGGCAAGCGCTCTACCACTGAACCACCTTCCCAGCCCAGCATTAACTCTTATACATACTTGTTTGTACCAAAATCTGAGGAGCTTCTTTGCAGTTTGAGTTTAAAACTGCCCACTTTTTTCCTTTGGCTTGTAGAGTCAGGTGATCTTATAATTGCCTCAAGGGCGATTAACTATGACTCCACTCAAAGTCTGGCTTCCGGAAGCAGAGTAGTTTGCTGTATTAGGCTCCCATCATATCTTCTATTGAACATGTTTATGCACAAAAACAGCCTTAAGTTTTCTGGAATTCCAGTGGCAAAATACATTTTTGCCCATTGTATAATAGAACCATGTGGTCAATACTAGAAAAACAGGTAACACCAAACAAATAAGGCAAAATCCAGAATCCAAAAATTTTTGACAGCAAACCATATGTCTAGACATCTTTGCTAACAAAGCACACTAGATTGTTGGGCCTCAGTTTCTAGGGACTGTGAAGAGGCAGCTATTCTGATAGCAAGGCACATTAGAATGAATGGGTGGAGGAGGAGTAAGCTTGGTGGAAAGGTGAGGGTTGGGTGAGGTCAAACCCTTAACCCACCATGTAACCAAGATGGTGAATTTCTGAACAAGTCATGATGGTAAGAAAAGTTGGCAGAGCTTTAATGAGTAAGCAAGCAAGCGGACAAACAAGCAGAAAGGAAGGGGCACGCTCAGACTATGGTGCTCTGAAGGAAAGACAAAGAGGTTTTTTGTGTGTGTGTGTGTGTGTGTGTGTGTGTGTGTGTGTGTGTTTTGTGGAGCCTGAACTCTGAACCTGGGTGCTGTCCTTCAGCTCTTCAGCTCAAGGCTAGCACTCTACCATTTGAGCCACAGAGCCACTTCCAGTTTTCTGGTGGTTTATTGGAGATAAGAGTCTCACAGACTTTCCTGACTGGTCTGGCTTTGAATCGTGATCCTCAGATATCAGCCTTCTGAGTAACTAGGATTGCAGGCCTGAGCCACCAGCGCCCGCTGTGAGACAAAGTTTTAAATGATCTCCAGTCCAGAGGTTGTGATAGAGAACTAAACTGAACAAGGAAGAGGGAGAGAAGAGGAAGAGAAGATGGCTGGGAGGCAGAAGTGAAGGGCTTAGTGAGACCGAGAACAGGCAAAGAAGACCTGAACATATGGAAACTGACCTTGGAAGAAATTATCCAAATATTGCAATAGTGTGGGGTCAAAAGTATTGTATTTAGGTGAGTGATTGTGATTGTATTTATCCAATTGGTATTAAGGCCAATTTTTTTTTTTTTTTTTTTTTTGTCAGTCCTGGGGCTTGAACTCTGGGCCTGGGCGCTATCCCTCAGCTCTTCAGCTCAAGGCAAGCACTCTACCACTTGAGCTACAGCGCCAGTTCTGGTTTTCTGGTGGTTTATTAGAGATAGGAGTCTCACGGTCTCTCCTGCCTGGGCTGGCTTTGAACCGCAATCCTCAGATCTCAGCCTCCTGAGTAGCTAGGATTACAGGCGTGAGCCACCAGCGCCCGGCTAAGGCCAAATTTTTAAGCAGATACTTTTCTTTTGATTTTAGATCTAGTTTCAATCCCAGAATGGCTAGCCTTTGAGAGAGAACCTAGACCAGGAAGGAGGAGGGGGTGCGGGGGCGAGGTGGGGAGGTGGGGGGGGGGAGGGTTCTTGGGAGCCAGCCTGCATTGCATTCTGGAGGGCATAAGCCAAAAGGTTGGAACCTAGACCTTTGAACATGTTGAATACCTGCTCTACCACGGAGTTACATCCCCTGTCCGAAGAGACTGAGCTGCAATACAATGACCAGATGTCCTGTTTAGGGTGGGTCAGCCCTTGATTTTGATTAGAATCTGAGCTTTTGAACCATTTTCTTTTCTTGCTTTTTCAGGACTGACAGGAGAGAACTTTTTAAACAGAGGCTACATATAATTTTCCTTAGAAATTTTTTATGGTTCTTTATTAGATTATCTGTAGAGTACCTGGTATTAGGAGAAGTTAACCCAGGAATAGATTTCTCTTTACAGAAAGAGTGTAGACTTGGTTAAATACCAGATCCTTCAGTTTAAAATCAATTTAAAAAATAAAAATATGAATAAGCCAAAACTAAATCCCTGAGTAGGAGTTTCACTTTAACCATTCTCTTCATTTATTTGTTTATTTATTTATTTATTTATGTGGGTTGCGGGTCTTGAACGGTGGGCCTGGGCACTGTCCTTCAGTTCTTCAGGTCAAGGCAAGTGCTCTACTGCTTGAGCCACAGGGCCACTTCTGGTTTTCTGGTAGTTAATTGAAGATAAGAGTCTCACGGACTTTCCTGCCCAGGCTAGCTTTGAACCTCAGATCTCAGCCTCCTGAGTAGCTAGGATTACAGGCGTGAGCCACCAGCGCCTGGCTCCTTTTTAAAAATTTTTAACAGGGGCTGGGAAGTTGGCTCAGTAGTAGAGCGCTTGCCCTGCATGCCTGAGGCCCTGGGTTCGATTCCTCAGCACCACATAAGCAAAAAGAAAAAACCCAGAAGTGGCGCTGTGACTCAAGTGGTAGAGCGCTAGCCTTGAGCTGAAGAGCTGAAGGACAGTGCCTAGGCCCAGAGTTCAGGCCCCACAATCGGACCCAAATAAAAAATAAGTAAAATAAAAATTTTTAACAGTATTGGAGTTTGAATTCGGACATCCCAACATTGCTAGGATGGCACAATTCCACTAAGCCATGCCTTCAGGTCTGATTTTGAGGGTTATTTGTAGGATAGGGTCTTGCTTCATGTATAGGCAGTTACCCAAGCTGCTTCCAGTGTGGTGGGATTACAGGCATGAGCCTCCATATTCAGATCCCTTCTGTGGAAACAGAGTCTCATAGACTTGTTCCACCTGGGCTGGCCTTGAACTGTGATCCTCTCAAGCTCATCTATGTCTTTTTCTTTTCTTTTTCTTTTGTGCCAGTACTGAGGCTTGAACTCAGGGCTTGGGCACTGTCCCTGACCTTTTTTTGGTCAAGGCTGGTGCTCCACCACTTGAGTCATATCTCTATTTTTGCCTTTTTGGTGGTTAATTAGAGATGAGGGTTTCACAGACTTTCCTGCCAAGGCTTTGAACTTCAATCCTCAGATCTCAGCCGCCTGAGTAGGGAGGGTTACAGGTCTAAGCCACTGGTGCCCAGCTCTCTGGACTCGTTTAAACTGTAGCAGTTTCCTATTCACTTTCTCTGTGACATGAGAAACTCCCGGAGCATATTTTCAAAACTGTAAAATTGAGATCATAGCAGAGGCCTCACAGAGATGTCGTGACAAGTCAACGAACTAATACGTGAAAGACGCGTTTAAAGTGCAGAACTAAATGAACTACTTTTCTCACTGATCAAGACTCTTATTAGACTTACTAGCTACAAATTCCATGTTTTCTCCTCTCTCCTCATCCGCGTGGTCACCCAAAGTGCTTGTCACCGGGTTTTGACCCATCTTACCACTTCTCCCCTTTCACCCAGATCCCTTTCATACCGCCTTCACAGCAAGCTTCCTGAGGGAGCTGTCTATACTTCCTGTCTTTACTTCCTTTTTCCTTTTTAACCCACTTCAATCAGACTTGTATCTCCATCGCTTCAAAGACTCTGAATTTGTCAAGGTCATCTCCATCTGGCTAAAACCAAAGGTCATTTTTTCAATGTCTATCATCTGTTGGCCACTGAAATAATGTTTTCTGCTCTGGCTTCAGTTACCTTTTTCCTGGTGCTGCTTCTACTTTACATTCATCTCCCTTGTGAACTCCTCCTCTTCCTCCACTTCCTGCTTCTTTCCTATATAGCCCACAAGGCTAACCTTGAACTCATGATCATTCTACCTGTGCCTCTGACCTCGAGGATTATAGGTGTGTACTAAGCTGGTTTGTTCACTTCTAACCTCTAAATGCAGGAATTCCCTTGGTGTAAGAGACTGAACCTAGAATACACAGTAACAAGTGTGTAATCCCATCAAATGTTATTTACATATGTTGATGACCCTTCAATTTATGTCCTGAATCAAGGAATCTATGTGGCGAGCTCCAGAATCATAAACTGAAACACCTGATAGATATTTCTGTGTGGATTTTCAAAAAGCACCTCAAACTTAACTTAAAAATAGAGCCTAGGGGCAGAGAAGGTGACTCAGTGGTAGAGTGCTTGTCTTGCATGCATGGGGCCCTGAGTTCAATTCCTTAGCACCACATAATCAGAAAAAGCTGGAAGTGGTGCTGTGGCTCAAGTGGTAGAGTGCTAGCCTTGAGCTGAAGAGCTGAGGGACAATGCCCAGGCCCACAGTGAAGGCCCCACAAGTGACAAAAAAAAAAAATGGAGAGAGACTAAGCCAGGTGCTGGTGGCTCACCCCTGTATTCCTAGCTCCTCAAGAGGCTGGAATCTGAGGATCACAGTTCAAAGCCAGCCCAAGCAGGAAAGTCTGTAAGATTCTTATCTTCAATTAACCACCAAAAAACCAGAAGTGGAGTTGTGGCCCACCAAAAAACTTTAGAAGTAGAGCTGTGGCTCAAAGTGGTAACTTGCTAGCCTTGAG